TGTCGATTTCGCTGGAGTCGCGAATAGCTTTAGGTCTACCCACTAATCTGTCCAACCAGAGCTCGGCATCCTGACGTCCCCGCGTGCTCTTGTCTCCTCCTCTTTCTCCGTTTCTCGGATGGACGGATGGAAGTTAATGACCATACCCTTTGTAACAGGCGGAAGCTTGTGCCACCTAGCCTAAGTCCTAAGTCTCGGCGAATAGATCGTACCAATTTTGCCCGAATAACTTCCTTTTACACTCGCATATCTACATTATAAAGATGTGACATTTCAGTATAACTGTGGGTTCGCAGCAAAAGGAATGGTACAGAGATGCGCCTGTACAGTGAGAATTCCGAATAATCGGGTCACTTGTTATGTGACTGCGTTCGTCCGAAGCATTTGTGCTTCGCTGGTTATTTTTGGCTTAGAGTACTTACTAATACGATGTGAGGTTATAGGCATATTGCTTGGTATGGAAATATTTTTTTTTTTTTTTTTGGAAGCGACGTGTATGATGCTTTAAATCTTTCGAATATTTTCTGACTGAGCGCACTGACAGGTCGAGAGCAACAGAGAGGTCATTCAGCTGTCCCGTCTCTAGGGCGAGCTTCTTACTTTCAGCAAACCTACGTCTCTCGAGCTTCTAGCATGCACGCTCAGTTGAAGCACGACGGAAGTCAAAAGCACGTGTGCTGGACGCTGTGCATTCGAAAGAGATGCCCTGCCGTTTTCGTTCTGTCACAAACTACAAAAGAGCTATTCTTCCTTTTTTTTTTAACAAGGATTTTGTGGATAGCTAAACTACGTATTTTACTAGTCATTGGGGATTATATCGTTTACAGTTGCGATGCTTGTCGTACAGAATAAGACACTCGCCGAACTGCTGACGACAGAGCAAGCGCTCGCTGACTACGTCAAGTTGCTCCAGCACATCAAGATCAAATATCCCTTTGCTGACAAGGCTCCAATCATTGCTATTGGAGGCTTCTACGGCGGCATGCTGGCAACTTACTTTCGACTCAAGCATCCCGACCTCATTACCGGGTGAGTGTAAACCATTTCCGTTGTCGCCTTCCGTGCGCTGCCATCTTTGTTCAGCTGGGCTGTGCAAAGCGTTCTGAGCAGGCGCCGTGACTCACTTCTGCAGAATATTAGACGCCACGCAAGCATCCACAGCTTAGTGACTCAATATCTTTTTTCTGAGTGATAACCGCTGAAAAAGTGCAGATGCATCAGGCATGTTTACGTGTATAAAACAAAAAGTATATCGTTAAACAATTACGAAAGCTTGGAATTCTCCTTTCCGTCAACGCTTTAGTCGCTAGTTTGCGTCAGGGCCAATATTGAAGGACTTTCGAAGTCACCGCCACAACCATCGGCGTTGTCTTTAATATTGTCAACGTGGCATTTTTGCGCCATGAAATTAGTCGCCCAGGCGCAAAGTGGTTCGTTTAGTTTCAAGTAGGGTGACCAGATCGCGTCTTCAATTGGTATTTCTAGCGCCCTGTATTCAATATATAAGATGGTCCCGAAGTTTCAATATTATCCATCAAAAAGCATCCATGTAGTGATATAAGACGTCGCGATTCTGGCGGTTGGTTGTAGAAGTTCTGGCAAAAGCTGCGAGCGGAATTAAAGGGGCGGTGCAACGATATTCAGTTAGTGTTTTCCACTTTACGCGAGCTTACTGAAACTAGTGGGACTGAAGGATACTCGTACACAACGCCACTAACCAAGACACTTCTTTTGTTGCGGTGTAATTTCAAGGACAAACTCGAGCGTTTTCATTCAATCTCTCCTTTGCGAAACTTGAAACCTGAGGCAAAACTTGAAAGGAAACAAAGAGATCGTAGTACCCTCCAGTGACGATATTCGAATGCGGCACATAGATTGCACCCGAGAATTGCGTGGGCACTCGATCTAGGTTGTGATAGTCGATAGCTCGAGATTCATTCGGGTGTCCTATCGCTGCAATGACAATAGCTGAACCATAACAATGTCTGGAACTCGGCGAGTGTCCTGTGCTTTGCCAACCTCAGCGCGTGGCTATGATCAACATCGGCGGCATACATTCGGATCCAGATCACGTCGCCGCTTCTTCTGGCTGCGAGTTAATGGGATGAACGCTGCTAGTTTTACTTGAATTTTTTCTGCGACTTTAATTGCGTGTTGTGAAAAATGAATGGGTGTTTCACAGGTCAATAACGTCAGGGATCCGTTCTAAGCAGAATTTGCGCAAAGTACAAAAATTGTTGCATCGCCCCTTTAATTGTCGCTGTCGCTGTCTCAACTTTCGGTTGCCGAGGTTTCAACGGACTCTCAAGCTGAAGGGCGATGTACAGTAAAAGGGTCGTCTGCAGTATTTATCTGAGCTGCTATATCACTGCCAGAATCGCGGCATTTAACCGTTGGACATTTCTATGACGTCCTCAGGCGCAAATTGAGTGGCAACATTTGAGGAGCCGGTAAATATTCCACTCGGAGACGCGTTCAAGGTACCATAGTTTTAAAATAACCTGGTGGCTTCGAGTCAAACTTGTGGTCTTAAATCCCCCGTTCACTCTCATGGTGTGAATGGCGCTGTATTTCGGTCTCACGTCACTTCAAGCCGTCTACATCAGTAGCCAATCATTGATGGACGCGGGACATACGCTCTTTATCGGTGTGATGTATTTATTTCGAAATTTCAATTAAATTACCTCTGATGAACCTGAGTTCTTTGAAGAATTTTTTTAGATCAAGCGTACCGATTGTATTGCCACCATCGGAACTATACGGAGCGCCAGTTCGTATGCTTCTTTCGCGGGGGCTGTGATAGGTTTTTGAATGGAAGGACAATAGGCAAGACCCCAATGCAAGCTGTTTTGAGGCTTGTCCACTATCCTTCCAATCGAAGCCAATCGGAGCTCGGCGTTCCGACGTCGCAGCAACCCCTGCGCAAGAAGCAGACGAACTTGCGCTCCGTGTACACTACGTTTCACTTAAAGTACGACCGGAACCAGCGATACTATCTAATGGAACCAATCAAACAGCGAGAAAAGTGCCCAGTCACGGCGCTCGTCGTCTTTGTGCGTCTGCTATCACAAACGAAACCAATCGCACGACGAACAAAAAAAAGGGATCATATCGAATTTGCTGTTACTGAATGGTTTAACAGATGAGAGCAAACGTACGAAGGTGAGGTGCGCAACGATTGTTTTCTAAAATAAATCTCGCGGCTTTCTTTTTTGCTAGTGCATTGGCCAGCAGTGCCCCCGTTAGCATGATTCCTGGAATGGTGCCGTGTCACGCGTTCGACTACAAACTGACTCAAGCCTTTCGCCGCGAGTCTGCCGCCTGCGAGGGAGCGATCCGGAGGTCGTGGCCACTGCTCTTCTCTCGCGCCGACACGAGTACGTCCCAATTATGACCTCTTTTATTGCGGCGGCCTTATTGAAAAGTTTCCACACTAAGTGCAAAACACAGATTACAAGGAGTGCGAGCGAAATCTTGTTGACGCTTCTTGGGTTCGTAGAAGCATCAAGGTTATGACGGGTTCAAGGTTTACGCGGGAACTCGTGCTGATAAGCATTATATTCGTTCTTTCAATACATTGGTACATCTCAGGCGTATAAAGCTGCTTCGTATTCGCCTTTCTGCTAGCAGCTTAATTTTTAATGCGAAAGCATTGACTGTCCCATGGAGCGAGCCGACGTCATCAGCCGCGCCAAACGCCAGATAAATTCCCGAAGCCGCGATCTGACGCATCCCAGCTTTGAAACCACGCAGAAAGCCACGCAAACGGCAGTGATATGAAGCCACCGCGCATCAGTTTCATTTGGCGCCTCCCCATGGCGCTGCGTGTCCGCGAGGCAGCGGCTCCAGCGCTCCACGCACAAAAACAGCGTGTCGAGGAGAGCGCGCGCGCCCTCGACCGTCGACGCAAGTACGCCGCAGACGAAATGGGGGAGCAGAAGAGCGGCGTACATGCTTTCGCATTCACAGCTCATAAGAAGTGCTTAGGTGTACCTCGAGCCTTTTTTTTTTTCACCACGCCCTATTTTTGGTTTTCCTTTCCCTACTGACCCCTAGAGGAAGCAGCATGCTAAGAAAGATCAAAAATACTGGCTATCGCTACCTCACGCGTTATTCACCCTGCCCCCATTTGGACAGTACAACTATTTACTTTCTCCAGACGAATCTTAATATCAAACATCGTTCTTAAATTTTTTTAGATTGAGGAACGCCCTTCCTTTTCGATTGATAGCCGAGAAACCATAGCAGTCTCGACACTGACTCAATAAACAGTGCCGTAGCTCACAAGCCTTGTAAACAATAGTGCCCATACTGTGGGTGTGTTTGGCTCATAGTTCTCTATCAATCGGTGGCTCATAATTCTTAAACTAAAAAATAATCCAGGTGCAGGGATGATTGAGAAAATTTGGGACCCCAGAGAACCCAGGAGGAAACTGACGGGGACACCTGAATTTCTGAGAACCCAGTTTTGAGAACTCGTCACCAAATACAAACAAGCCTCCGCAGATATTGTGACCACCCTCTCCTCCCTCCCAGATCTATAAAGGCCTGATAAAAAAATATGCAGTATTTGATCATCACTTGTTAAATACATAAACGAAAGACCCGCAGTCATTACTATCCATAAAGTAATCTGCAGGGCCTTTAGCACTCAACTTCAGATCGCTGTGAAGTCTGCCCGAAGCAACATCGAGCGACTGTCAGTGCAAACGTCTGTTTCCCTCCAAGTTTTCTAACGCCTTTTATAGGGGAGTGCAAATAGTGGTTTGAACTCAATAGCGCTGCTTCAGTCATAGCAGCGACGGCGGTACTTGCGAAGCCAGTGACATACCAAGTCTCTTCATTGTGTTAAAGCTAGTAGCGCTGCATCGTTCAGAGCCGCACTACGCAATTCGAAGCTGCATTCGCACACCACTAATTCTAGGATTTATTTTTTAGAGACAAAAGCGATCGGCTTTTTCCAGTCGCACAGAGTCTGCCCAGAGCAAGTCGCTCATGGTATGGGCTTCTTCTATGAATGGATGCGCGAGACGTACATTCGTCTGGCAATGTTCAACTACAAGGAGCCTGCAAGGCGCGTCACACTGCTGCCGCGGTATCCTCTCGGGGTAAGTCGTTTTACAACAAGGCCTTCTATAAGAAATAGTATGGCCGACTGGAACAAATCTTCTAGCTGGCAACTTGTGGTATTGCCATTGAAGTATAATTCGACGTGGAAGAAACAGATTTAATTGTCAGAAGTGGGTTGTCACATAGTTGTTTAGAAATTAATGTGACTAGAAGTTATTCCCTGCAAATTAACCAATTATTGCCCACTGTCGAACCTTTGACCTGGCAGAACAGTGCCGCCTTCTTAAACTTTCGGTTTTTAATTCACTTTAAATCTTTATAAAATAGCGATTTATAATTCCCTACGTTTGTGTTCAACTAGTTGACATAGTAAATATAGGCACATTTTGGACTAACACTTGTTTTACTCGGCATCTTAAAAGAAATTGCAATTTCGCGTTCGCATTACTTAGAGAAAGATTGCTGAACCCACGCACTCGATATGTCCGTTGCAGAACCGCAGCATAAACCAAGGTCGGAGTCAGCTGTATTAGAACACTCCGTTAAAGGGATGCTGAACCGAAATTTAAATTTCACAAAATAGGGTAGCCGGAGTGTTCAAAGGCGCGCCACAAACCCCAAAACAACTCATAATGCGATATTATCAAACGGATGGCAGCATTTTTGTAAAATAAGGACGCGATTGAGTGAGAATCGCGACGTCGCGTTTCCTGCAGAATAGATGAGGAGGGCGGAGTCAAAGCGAGAAGAGGAGGACACGAGAATCGGTGACGTCACGGGCCTTTTTGGACATGGTTCAGGCGCGCTCTTCTTTCGCAAATATACGACCATCCGTTGGAGATATCGCGTCACGGGTGGTGCTTTCGGGTTTGAAGCGTCCTTCCTAGCGCTTCTGCGTTGTTTTCTGAAATCAAAATTTCGCTTCAGCATCCCTCTAGGGTGATTCACACAAGTGCCTTTGAATGCGACCGAATGCGCGGGAACCGCTTGTGACCGCTTAATCCGGAAGAAGACACTGGCACGCTTGCGCCATCCATCGTGTAGCCCCGGAAACGCTTTCTATACGTATACCCAGACTGAATATTTTGCAGTACTTCCGAGAACAAGTTTACGCACTATCAATGATCAATTGTCGCGTAAATTATTGCCACTTATTTCAAGCCCATGGCGAAAGAATCGCCCAAAAAACGTTATCATATATATGCAGATCGTACGTGTTTGCTTGCAATAACTAAACGTGTGAACTAGCACTTAGGGCCTCTCTCGTTTAGACTGGCTGATTTGTTTATTCTTGTCCAATTTTTTTTCAGGAAGCGTGCGACATTTTGACCGAGGCATATGACGACGATTCCCTTGTCGAGGCCGTGTTCAAAGTTGCCAACATGTTCTACAACCATACGGGTGACCTCGTCTGCTTCAATATACTACACTATTTTAAAGAAAACCCCGTTTGGAATTTTCAGGTGCGTGCAAAGAGACATCCTCGCGATTCTGCGTAATCTCGCCGTTTGTCCGAACGTAGCTGGTCGGAGCGGATTGGAGGACGTTCGAGAAACTAATCGATCTTAAGATCTGTGAATACAGCTTGAGCGTAGTGCAAAAAACAAAACGAAGACAGTGGAAGGCAGCAACAGGACTCGGCTAATACGGAGGACTCACTGGCGGCCATATCTGTGTGGGCGGCTGCTGAGCGCGTGCTGACGGCAACTTTCCGCTCTTCTCTTGCAACGTGCATTCCGTACCATCAAGATTGCCAGATTGCCAGTCTTAACAGGCTATTAATCTGAGCTTGTTTTGAGCATGCGCTCTAAACATCGCCCTTAAATATGGCGTGCAGTGAACACGTAGCACGTGTGCGTGGCCGAGAGGGAACGTTACTCCCGACTTCTAAAAGGTTCGCGTTTACTTTTACCCCGAATGTTTGATGCTCGAACATCTAGGAGAAATGTTAGAGATACCGGGTGTAGTTGATAAGGTGCCGTGCGTGGCCTTGCCGATTCACTTTCGTGCTAGCCAGCGATAACGCCGACACCTCGACATTCCCTGCTTCTTTCTCGACGCTCGTTCTTCCTCTTGTTTCTGGCTCAGGCTCGCCGATTCAACCTTGATTCCCAGTTTTAGGCCTCTCGATCCTCTTTCATCCGTGACATATCGCATGACTTCGAGTAGTCAAGGCTATTGAAAACTGCCACTTACCAGAACAAATTAGAAATTAAAAATGCTTCATAACATTGTCCGATCTACAATCAAGAAACATAATAAAAATATGTTCATGTATAAGGCATGCCGAATGGTCAGATAAGGAGATAAGAAGCAATGAATGTTGTAAACTTCAACTGTGTTTTTTTCTTTGCCAGTTTTTATCTAACTCCGATTAGTTTATCTGCTGGCCTAATTGTTTCATCTTAAGGAGGCAGGGGTTTTCAAGCTGCACTGTAGTTTTTTCCTTTCCGTGTTTCCACCTCCGCAACTAATGGTTCAATGAAAACTTTAATTGAATATATCACTGCGTCCCGACGCCTCTTCAGATGTGCACAGAGCTGGTGACTACGCAGTGCAGCAATGGAGATGCCGACATGCTCTACGTTCGCCAGTGGAACCTCAAGAAAATACGCGAAAACTGTGAGAAGCTGTATAAAGTCAAGCCGCAGCCGAGAAAGCTGTATACCGAGTACGGCACCCGTTTCTGGAACTCTTCCAACATAATATTCAGGTGAGCTGTATTGGTTTCCGAATAAGAGGCCAGCGAGTCAGCTATATTTCTTGGTTCCCGTTCGATTGTTTGAAGTGTACATTGCTCGGAAGTTAAGAGTATTTTCAGTAGCAATAATGATGTAGCCCCGAGTTGACATTTCTACCGCCAGGTAGCTCGCTGACAACTGGGATTGCAAAGGTCATGCTCTTCAGTCACCAAATGGCTTCGTATATGTATAAAAAATTAGGGTGCCTAAGGGTAGGTATTTAAAGTGCCTCTGACACGCCGAAAAAAAAACTTTTTTTCATGCTAGGCGTTGAAATGGCATGTCAGGACATTACAAAAAAATTATTTCACTATAGAGGCACGTAGCTTTTTTTATAAAAAATAGAAATAGGAGGCGCAATTCGAAGTTCCCGCCAGTGCACTGTGACGTAACAGTGTACCGCAAGGTGTTGGGCGGTCACAAGGGAGGCATCGACATACGTCACTAAAAGTGGGTTCGCAGGAAGTCACGTGAGTTTCAGTTCTCGTGCTCTCCGCGACCGTGCCTACGACTTTTTTTTTAATTTTCTGCTCTTTGTACGAGCGATTGTAGACAACGAAGTTTCAGTTCCACTAGCTCTTTATCGCTGCACCGTTTGTTAGTTTGCGTGCTGTAAACGTTGAGGACGAAGAGTCAGTGGATCGACGTGATGAAGGTCAATAATGAAAGCGTTGCGAGTGTACGAGTGCGTGCCGTCAGTCCGATGATACAGAGCTATACTGGGTACAAAAAAAGCTATCAAGTTGTGAAAAAAAAATTTTAGAACGCTCGCAGAAATTAGGATATCTTGCGTACGACACGTCCAATTGCATTGCTGAAGCTTCGGACACCCAGGCCATCGAATCATCGTATACTCTCCAGGCTGAAGATGCCTACCGTCTCTCGGAAATGCATGCAGTGTGATCTCCTTCAGTTGCTGAAATACCGGGACAGTCCCTCACACAGCACCTTCTAGGCACTTTAGTTGATCACATCAATTCACTGACTCCTCTTCTTCTACCTTTACAGCAACATTAAGCGATGAAATGCAAATAAAAGAAGCCTTGTCTGTTTAGATATCGCTCGTGGAGGTGCGGAGAATAACGCATAAATAAAAAAATATTACACGCGCTCGCGGTAAGCACGAGGAAGGATACAACTCACGTGACTTCCGGCGATGCCTCCCTTCTGACCGCCCCGAAACCTTGCGGTACACTGTTACGTCACAGTGCACTGGCGGGAACTTTGAATTGAGCCTCGTATTTCTATTTTTTATTAAAAAAAACTACGCACCTCTATAGTGGAACAATTTTTTTGTAATGTCCTGACACGCCATTCCAACGCCTAGCATGAAAAAAAAATTTTTTTTTTTGGCGTGTCAGAGGCCCTTTAAAGAGAAGAAATAAGTCGAAAGAACCGGAACCTAAATTTAACCAACGGTAATCACAAAAAGTTGGGAATTTCTTTTCTCACCTTTTAGTGGTGTTCAACCACGTGTTTCCGAACGAAAGCTGTCGCTTCGCATGCCATTAGTCATAAAACCCGCCTATACTTTGTTTCACCTTAAGTCCGGACGCGACCGAATCTACGAGCTGATAAACCAATTCAACAGCACCAAACGCGAAGCGCTAGGTCGCTTCGCATTCACTGTGCACAACTGTTATAAAACCGCTGATGGGCATTACGCACCGAGACAAGCGACATGTCGACGTGCTTTTAGTGCAGCTTGCTTCGGCCTCCATTGGGTCGTTGCGTTGGTCGTGTTAGAACTTAACGAGAAGCTGACTATATACAGCTCCTGCTCAAGTTCCACTTTTGCGAAAATGCGGTGGCGACATAACCTATACTTCAACCGATCGAATGCTTTAAAAAAACGGTCAAACTGATGACTGTTCACCTGTGCGAAAACCCTCGGTTATTTATTTTTTATTTATTTTTTTGTTTTAAGAGAAGACTTTATTATGCTACCTGAGCCGTCGTCCCTCAGCTCATACATGATAGAAAAACACGGTGTTCGTAACAAACGTGGCGAAATTATCTGCGAACCCACCTCCAAAATGTTTGAAGCAAGTTTAAGTAATGTGACAGTGTCTGGAGACTGTCTTTTGTTTGATGAATGGGCAGTGTGATCATCGAGGCTTAAGCGTTCCGGAGACACCTTTTTCTGCAGCCCATTCATATCCTCATCATTTTTTTTTTATTTCTTTTTTGTCTCCAGCAATGGAGAGTTTGACCCGTGGACTTCCTTAGGATACCTTTCGCCCAAGACGGAGACCGTGATCCCCATCCTGATTGGCGAATCGGCTCACCAAGAAGACCTCGCCTTTGGGGCGCCTGCGGACCGCCACGACTTGACTCGTGCCCGGGAGCAAGAGAGGAGGCACGTCCGGAAGTGGATCGAGGAAGCGGAAAGGAAGGAAGACACTACCCTCATCTTCGATCCCGAATTGAACAAACTTGACAGAGATGAGTTCTAAAAAAACGGAAGAAAAAAAAAAGGGGGGGGGGGGGATTTGAATTGGCATCCTCCGGTTTTCTCTTCTTTTTCTTGTTCGCTAGTTGCTTGAAATAAACGGGGAGTCGCTCTTGTACTATCATCCTTTTAGAGGAAATGTGTTTTAGCAACACCACCCAGAATAATTTGAAAGCCAGTGCACTAGCGTTTCTTCCGCGTCATAGCTGTGAAATTGAGCGCAGACACGGATTGAATACGAGTGTTGAGTCGGCGTCCTCCCAAGAGGTGGTTCAAGTGCGTTTTTGAAAACGCTTCTAGAACTAGTCGGCGCATCAAACTCGCAAAGAATTTTCGATATCTTTAGTGCAAGAAGATTAATGAAGTCTATTAAAGTATGTTTGTCTATGAAATACAAAACCACTTAAGTTTCCCCCTTAACATCTCGCGCGTGTCTCTGAGACTTTATCTTTGCGATCCGCTCCCTTGTCCTTCGCGCTGACTTAGCTTCTCGCGCGGGACTCTCTGCTCGCGGGGCCTCTGCATCGCTAGCGGAGGTAACTGAATTCTCACCGCGCTGCGTTCTCCTCGCAGCGCGGCCTGATTCACAGGAGCTCCGACCGTCCTGACCTAGGACGGTCGGCCGTTACGAGACGGCTCGCTCGGGCCCCTCGGTAACAAATTGCCACCGCGATTGACACTTCAATCGCGGCGCAAGACTAATCACAATTTTTTATCACTCCGGCCCAACTTTATTTAATTACTTATTTATTTATTTACCATTCTGATTCGGTCCTAATTCGGCTTAATATTAGGTTTGTACAACAGGGCTCCTGGGTGTTGCTTGGCGCTGGTGTGTTTTGTGACGGCCCATTTAAGGAAGACCTCTGAAGACTATCTCAAGAATCAAGTGGGACTCTGCCCAACTTCAACTTAGAAGAAGCGCATTTCACCGGCCACTCTGCTCGGCCGGGGGGGCTTCTTCGTGCGGCTTGCGTGGCGCGGCGGCGCGCATTGGCGGCGCGACACTGGGGCAGCAACCCTTTTCTATCTTTATCTTTTACTCCCCTTCCCCTACCCCAAAACAAAGGTGACATATTGAGCTTCCGGCTCAGCAACACTTCCTTTGATTTCCTCCTCCCAATACTCTAACTAACTGCTTACCGCATGATCACTGATAGCCGACCCCCCACAAAAGATATTTCCTCTTTAATACATATACCATCACTACGGCGAGTGGAGATTTATTTCTAGTTGTCAAAGAAACGGCTGTTTAACCCCTCTCTCTGGTTTTCCCTGAACTCCCCAGGAGTACCGTGCTCCAGACATGTGGGGCCTTCATCCTCCTCACCGCCACTTTCCCATTAACCGGCCTAAATAAACGTTTTCTTCTGCTGCTGCTGCTACTACTAGTATGGGCTCCTTCAGTTATACGTGGCATAAGTGACGCTCTTTCACCGCGACTCTCTCGAATACCGCCTCCAAGACCGGGAAAATCCAAGACACCGTAAGACGCAGATTTCAAGCGCTTCACCTTAGTAAGCCACGTCCTGCTCGACTGGACTGCTCCAAAGTATAATGTATCCCTTTTTCTCCTGACCTTTTAAATGGATCGAATTTCTACACCGATAAAGTTGGAGCCTATGCTTGACCGCAAAGAAATTAGGTGAATAGTAAAGAGGGCGCTCGACAAATGACATAGTTATTTATATTCTTAAACGTAAAAAAAAAAAAAAAAAAAAAAAAAACGGTGCGCTGTGACACTGAGCACGACGTTTCAACCTGCTCAATGTCTAAGCGTATACTATTTTCTTGTTTTTTTACACGTATTAGCTTCGTCATTCACCAAGTACCCTGTGTAGAACGCGGCAATTTGAGCTTCCAGGTGCTTTCCAGGAAAGTAGATACTCCAGATCTCTCTGAGTAGAGCAGCAGCAGCAGGAGGAAACAGTTTGAACGGTGCCGCTTTGCGACGAAACATGGGTGTCGATGTTTCGCTCGCATTTCTGGCAAACTCCGCGTGATGCGCAACGTGACTACTCCGTTTCACGATAACTTGGCGAACTGTGGAAGCTACGGCCCCGCGGACCAAGGAGAGCATCGGAGCAAGTCACGTGATAACACTGCATCGTCAAATGGTCGCGACCATGGAGACCTCGTCACCGCCATAGCAACAACGCCGTCCGCGAGAGAAAAAGTCGTTCTATGTTTCGTTTTCTTTTAAAGGTAATTGAATTCGAGCGATTCTATCTCTTGAGAATATATAAACAAAATGACAAATAAGTATTGACGGATTTATAAGTTGCAATTATATTTGAATCGAAAAAGTAAAACTACATCCGTCTCCGGTCCCGATTTTCTTTCGTTGTAGTGCCCGCTGGCGATCGTTGCCAGTCATCGACCGCTTCCGCTTAAGAAATCGCCCTGGCGATTTCTTAAGCGAGTCTGTGGTACTCGCCACGGATTTGTAGGTAAATTGATAGTATATCATGAACTGTTCCCGAAGAGCTCACTACTCTGGCGGACGGCAATGTTGCGGTGGTGGACCTTCATCCGAAGTTGGTCGGTTTCGCAGCAGACAACTCGGTCGCGGGAATCGTAGGCTTCACAATTGAAGTTATTGTGAAACGGAGTATAGGACCTCGAGAAACCGTCACCCTTCGCTCACTCGTTTTAAGGCCGCGGGGTTCACGACGGTGACTGCGCGAAAACCCCTAAAACGAAAGTGCCCCTACAGTATATTACAATATCTATAGCAGACTTTACTCTGTACCGTATCTGGCACGCACTCAAACGATATGGTTTTACTACATGGGGTATTCAAACAGAATGACTGACAATTTCTTAATTAATGGAGTAAGTTACGCAAGGGACTTTGCATATTTACAATAAAGAATAGCAGAAAGTCACATCTGAATGGCTAACTCAGAACCAGAACGGTGCGGTTGTCACTGGTAAAATGAGGATAGATGTAGTTATTAGCTGCTTGCCTCGAATTGGAATTGAAACCATAACCCTTATCCAAATCCCTATCTAGTTTGAGCAAAATAAATTTTCAATATATTTTATATTTTCCTTTTTGGTACAAGCCACATGACCCGCCATGCAGTAAAGGGTTAAATATAGAATTGTGTTCATGATCTTCGTGAGTGCCTTGCACTTCGTAGCTAAGTTTGTCGTTGTGCAACTTTTTTTTTTCTTTGCTTGTTCAATTTAAGATAATTTTATAATACCTCTACAAAAACAACCCCCTGCACTCTCGCTCTTTCTCTTTCATTTGCTCTCTTGGCCTCTCAACAAATTTATGCGAGTCCGCTCACCAGGGCGTTTGCTTACTGCCGGTCAGCTGTTCCTTTGGCACGTATACACTTTGTTCTGTTGAAGATACTAATTAACGGTAGACGCCAATTTTCATCGCTGGTGCTTGTTCGTTCGCTATCATTTTCGCCTGCCCTGTACCTGTTACAAGCATGTTGTTTTCCGCGACATAAGGATATCTTGAGACCTGCGCAACGCCCGTATAGGTTTCACTATTTATGTTTTCATTGTTTATCCAAACCGAGCGTCCGACAGTACTTGTAAATAGGTTAGAAACAACCACCGAAGAAATAAAATGTTGGCTTTGAAAGATAAAATATTTCAAATCATCGTTCTCTATGCACCACCTTCTCATTTATTGTTTAATGCTCAAGTCATGTCGGTCAAATTCCGGTACTGGTATGTACAAAGAACGTAGAAAAACGCGAGAAAAACGTGCGGCGTGTGGAAAGTTTACATTCTCAAAATGGAGAAGAATGCAAAATCAAAAGGAATGTTTTTTACCTTAGTTTAAATACCTTAATCCGCTTTTCGATAAAATTTACCTCACTAAATTCACTTTTTCTTTATATCGTGACGCAGGTTGCTTGATATCCACCTTCACACTGTTTTATTAGCCTCAAAACCACCGTCTTGAGGTCGTGGTTGGGTGATTTCAGATAAGATCGACCAAAGGATGGCTAGTCGACATTTTCAAATCAACTGATGTTTTTATATGTTATTGTCTAGTGTCTGGTATGAACGAATCCAAACTTAGTTCTGACTAAAAACAATACTTGGGGACAGGAAAAATCGTAAGGCATGAGGTGGTGGACAGTTGCATTAACGCGCCTTGATGGACGGGGGCCCGTTTGAGAGTGAATAACTAAAGCGATAACATTAGGAGAACTCTAATACGTTTAGGCGCAAACTATGGGTATAGCTTGCTTGTAATATAAAGTAATCATATTTATTTAAAATTTATTTATTTTTCTAAAAATTGACAAACATGCCTGCTCGAACGACAAATGGCAAACTTTGGAGGTCTGTATCTCATGAAATAATTTAATCATTATGATATAATTTCAAGATATTATTCTACTAATATATAGCTAATATTTACAAAATAACTAAAGTATCTGTGTGATACAATAGTTAGGATATATTTAGTCAAGCATGGAAAAAAAATCAAACAAAGAAAAATTCCGATGCGAATAAAAAAAAAAACCACCCTCGATTTTTTTTTAAATTTAGGTAACCTGTTATACTCTATTTCGGCATTCATTTCCATTAAAAACATGTTGCATCATTTTATTGAGAAAGAAGATACAACTCCCCAAAGTAGGGTCCTTTTTCAAAGCCTACACTTAGCAGTGTTTTATACAAGAACTGACTCTGAGTTCCAGTTTCATGAAACCAGCACACATCTTTTATATATTTTTATTCAGATGAGGCCAATGATAACTAAAGAAATCGTTCACACACTTAAATTAAGGAGAAACTACTGTGTACAAAGAGGTATCATATTACGGACTAGTGATCCGAGAAAAGATCATGCAGCCATCGGCCACTAGGAAGTTGGAACTTTGTTTACTTTATTCTCCTGCGACACTATATGCTATTCCCTCTTCCGCTCTACCTTCATCTCTCTCTCTCTCTCTCTCTCATACATATCCCTGATATATATCCAGAACAAAAACATGTTCAAGCATTCCATTTCTGCGTGGT